GAGGCCGAAGCAGACCCGAAGTCAGAATTTCTGCCCCCTCCGACCCACACAAAAAGACCCAGAAAGGGGAGACTCTCTGCAGCAACACAAACGTTTATTGCATGTATCCATCCCAGGGGCCATAGTTTGAGGACCCCTGATTTAGTGCAATATAAAAAATGCAAATAATTTTTCTACCAACCACCAAAATTTTCTCACAGACCACCAGTGGTCCACGGACCACCTGTTGGTGACCACTGTTCTAGACCAATCCCCTGCTGAAGCAGGAAACTCTGTACCATTTCAGACAAATGGTTGTCCAATTTGTTCTTAAAAACCTCCAATAATGGAGCACCCACATAAAGCCCTCCAATTTACAGATACTGCTTGGAGTGATCCATTGTGCCAAGAGTTTTGCTTACCTAGGAATTAAGCATTGATTTGTGTTTATGAACCACAGCTAATGGCTTAACATTACATAAACCCAACCAATTGTGGTTTATTCAATAAATAATGGTCAAACCTAACTCAGATTACTACAAGGAAGTAAGCTGTAACTAGCTTTCAGTGCCTCTTTGATAATCCCTGAGACTGGCACTCAGAAAGTATCCCCCCTCTTTCCATCTCTCCCCTCTTGGAACACGCCCTTCTCGGACTTGCGCCCTCTTTTGGCTTCACCTCTCCGACACAAATAGCTCGCTCATTCCACCTGAGCCCTTCCCCTACTTGTGTGGAGAACTAATATCATCTGAACATGAGCTGGTATATGATTCCATCCCACCAGCTGAGAGGACCAGCCAAGAGCCTAACCACCGTGAGAGGGTGGCTTGGGCTCTGGGCCCCACGGGCTGAGCTGGGATGGCATTAGCTATTTTGCACTTTGCACTTTGTACCTGCTGGCAGGGGAATGACCATCGGACAAACCGCCGTGAGAGGGCAGATTGGGGATTTATATCCTGGGTGCTGCACTGTTTCTGTTGTATCATCATTCAGCACCTGCACTTTATACTTTGCTGGCAGAGGGACGGATCATCGAATCCGCCGTGAGAGGGCAGATTTTGGACCTATATTATGGGTGCCGAGTGCGCAAGTTGGACCATTACTTCCATCTCACCAGTAGAGGGGGCAGACCATCAGGCCAAGCCGCTGTGAGAGGGCGGTATGACTTATCCCTCCCCCCCTTGGACTGTGGAGATGGACTTGGCCTCTGTTGTGAGAGAACAGCGGACTGGGTCTTGAATCTTTTTGTGGCTCCTGTCTTCTTATGTTCTCCCTCAGACTTTTCTGTATGGACCCTTTAGGGGACGGTCAACCCATCCCTGCGGCAAGATGTACGCAGCAGCGGAGCTTCTTGGTCTGCGAGATTCCCCCCTCTCGCAGGCTTAGCCCTCCACGTTATCGAGGGCCTACCTCGATGACAGATTTTGGAATCCCGAGAGGTGGCATGCCACAAAGAGGGGGCTGAGGGGGTTTTTAAAATTGTCTTTGTGTAAATTTTTAAGGGGTTTGGGGAGGGAGGGTGATAGGTCAGGCTTGGCACAGGGGCACGAACTGGGAGGTGTGTAGCCGGGTGTGGAGGGGCTTAGTGTAAGTATGGAAGAGGGCGATTCCATCAGGATCATGGTTGGGAGGGGCAGATACGGCGGGAGCAGGGGACCATATTGTGTTAGGGGGGCACGCACCCGCTGTCTTCAAGCGGTGGCATGCCTCAGCCCCCAAGGCTCGTCTCGTTTCCCGGGTTGTCCAGAGCTTCAGAGCCCAGGCCTTAGGCTGATGCTGTGCAACGCCAGGTCCGTGGTTAATAAGGCCCCTCTCATCTGCGAGTTAATTCAGGAGGGGGGAGTGGACCTGGCGGGTATTACAGACATCTGGCTGGACCAAGAGGAGGGGGGTCCCCCTCGTAGAAATTTGCCACCAGGTTTCCGAGCATTTCATCAGCCAAGGGCCCAGGGCAGGGGTGGGGGGGTGGCGGTTGTCATTAAGGAAAGTCTTGATCCGAGGAAGACCACTGTACCACAGATAGCCGGATGTGAGTCTCTCCTGGTGAAGTGGGGCCATGGGATGCAGGTGGGCCTGCTGATCACGTACCTGGCTCCCTGCCATGTGACAGCGGCCCTGCCCGAGCTTCTCAACGTTATTGCCGGAGTGGTGGTTGATACCCCCAGACTGGTGGTCATGGGGGATTTCAACCTGCCATCGGCCGGTGAGGCGTCTGAGGTGGCCCGGGAGTTCATGGCTTCCATGACGGCCTTGGACCTGACACAACTAATTCATGGCCCCACTCACACGGGAGGACACACTCTGGACTTAGTTTTTGTCTCTGGTCAGTGGTTGAATGGCCAGGTTATAGGGGATATAACTATTTAGCCCCTGTCATGGTCTGACCATTCTCTCCTGAGGCTGGACTTTCTGACTGCTGCACCCCACCGCAGAGAGGTGGAACCGATTAGGTGGTTCCGCCCCAGGCGCCTGATGGATCTGGAGAGATTCCAGAGGGAGCTTGGGCCATTTCCTGAGGCTTTGGCTCACGACTCGACTGAAGATCTGGTGGCCGCCTGGGATAGGACGGTCGCCGGGGCTTTGGATCGTGTCGTGCCTTCGCGGCCTCTGGCCCGGTGTCGCACCTGCCCAGCTCCTTGGTTCACCGAGGAGCTGAGGGGGATGAAACGCCGGAAAAGACGCCTAGAGAGTGGTTGGAGGGCCAGTCGCTCTGAATCCGATTGAACACTAATTAGGTCTCATATTAAGACCTATTTAGTGGCGATAAAAGCGGTAAAGTGTGATTACTTTTCCACTCTTATTGCATCAGCAGATAACCGCCCAGCCGCCTTGTTTAGAGTGACCCTCTCCCTCCTACATCAGGGAGCGCGGGAGGACCCCTTGCAAGGGCAGGCTGAGGATTTTGCACAGTATCTGCACGATAAAATCACTCAGATTCGGGAAGGCTTGGACTCTGACTGGTAGATTCCGGCAGGGTGGCTGAGGTGGGTCTTGAGAATGTTATCTGGGACGAGTTCGATCCTGTGACTCCTGAGGACGTGGACAGGATTCTGGGGAGGTTAAACGCAACCACATGTTTACTGGACCCGTGTCCCTCCTGGCTGGTACTGGCTACTCAGGAGGTTACGCGAGGCTGGCTCCAGAGGATTATAAATGCTTCTTTGGGGGAGGGTCTCCTGCCGCCTGCTTTGAAAGAGGCGGTGGTGAGGCCCCTCCTTAAGAAGCCTTCTCTGGATCCAGCTGTTATGGCTAACTACCGTCCTGTCTCCAACCTTCGCTTTATTGCGAAGGTTGTTGAGAGTGTGGTTGCGCAACAGCTCCCGCAGTACCTGGATGAAACCATCTATCTAAACCCGTGCCAGTCTAGCTTCAGGCCTGGGTACAGCACAGAAACAGCACTGGTTGCGTTGGTTGATGATCTCTGGAGGGCTCGGGACAGGGGTTGCTCCTCTGTTCTGATCCTATTAAATCTCTTAGCGGCTTTTGATACCATCGACCATGGTATCATGCTGCACCGGCTGGAGGGTGGGAGGCACCGTGTTGCGTGGTTCTCCTCCTATCTCTCTGACCGGTCGCAGTCTTTGTTGGCAGGGGGGCAGAGGTCGACCTCGAGGTGCCTTGTTTGTGGGGTGCCACAAGGATTGGTCCTCTTGCCACTCCTGTTCAACATTTATGTGAAGCCGCTGGGTGAGATCATCCGTTGATTTGGGGTGCGATGCCATCTGTACACTGATGACACTCAGCTGTACATCTCCACCCCAAACCACCCCAACGATGCCCTTGAAGTGACGTCCCAGTGTCTGGAGGCCGTGCGGATTTGGATGGGGAGGAACAGGCTTCAACTCAACCCTTCCAAGACCGAGTGGCTGTGGATGCCGGCATCCCGATATAGCTAGCTGGCACCATCACTGGCTTATTGGGGGCGAGTCATTGACCCCCACAGAGGGGGCTTGCAACTTGGGCGTCCTCCTGGACACACAGCTGTCTTTAGAAGAGCATATGATGGCCGTGGCCAGGGGGGCTTTTCATCAGGTTCGCCTGATACGCCAGTTGTGCCCCTTTCTGAGTCAGGATTCCTTATGCACAGTCACTCATGCTCTCGTCACTTCTCGCCTGGACTACGCTAACACTCTCTACATGGGGCTCCCCTTGAGGAGCACCTGGAGGCTCCAACTGGTCCAGAATGCGGCCGCGCGGGTGATCACGGGAGCGACATGGCGCTCCCATATAACAACTCTCCTGTGCGAGCTGCACTGGCTCCTGGTGGTCTTCCGGGTGCGCTTCAAGGTGTTGGTTCTCATCTTTAAAGCGCTCCATGGCTTAGGGCCAGGGTATTTACGAGACCGCCTGCTGCTACCGATAACCTCCCACCGGCCAATACGCTCTCACAGAGGGCCTCCTCAGGGTGCCGTCGGTCAAGCAATGTCGGCTGGCGGCCCCCAGAGGGAGAGCCTTCTCTGTGGGAGCACCTGCCCTCTGGAACGAGCTACCTCCCGGAATACGGCTGATTCCGGATCTCCGCACTTTCCGTAAGGCCCTGAAGACATTTTTATTTCAGCAAGCCGGCCTGGCCTGAATAGGTTTTAGGGGTTTTTAAATTGTATTGCTAGTGGTTTTAAATTGGGGCGGCCGTTTAATTTAATTTATTTTTAATTATTTTAACTTTTATATTGTATGTTATTTTAATTCTCGGCTGTTCACCGCCCTGAGTCCCTTCAGGGAGAAGGGCGGGATATAAATTTAATAAATAATAATAATAATAATGTTGGGAAATGACACAGATCTGAAATGCAATTTTCTAAAAGGCAGACCAACACCCCCCCACACTCCTTTTCCCTAGTGGAAGTCCAACATATACTAATTAAGCTTTCTCCAGAGAAGCTATATCCAAGAAAGAAAGAAAGAAAGAAAGAAAGAAAGAAAGAAAGAAAGAAAGAGAAAGAAAGAAAGAAAGAAAGAAAGAAAGGAAAGAAAGAAAGAAAGAAAGAAAGAAAGAAAGAAAGAAAGAAAGAACAACCCACCTTCTCTTTGTCCCCCTCCCAATCTTTGCTGTTTCTTGTCAAGTTGAAACCCAGTTCTCTGCTTGGTTACTCCAGTTCAGATGACCTCTGGAGCACAGTTCATCACAAGACAAAGAAGCCTCCAGCCTGGATTACATCTTGCATTAAAGACAGGAAGGGGGTTAATTCTTTCATCTCCAATCAGATTTTTCCTCTTCTTTTTACACACAGCATTCGGGCCTCTGTTTCCTTTGCTTCATCAGCTTCAAGACTCCAACAGCTACAGACAAATAATTTTCTTTTTACAGTATTATGACTATTTTACAAAATCATTTCCCTGGTGTAAGATTAATCACAGCCCCCAGCTTTCTGAAAGCTGGGCCAAGGACATGAGTTTGTAGAACTTAAAACAACTGGTTTGTTTTGACTTTGCTCTGAAGTTTTCCCCCTGCTTTTGAGAATTAATTTCCAAGTACGGTTAGGGAGGAAAGCTGTTATTTTGACGAACATCCCTTCAACAAAACTGTACTTCACACTTCCTGGGAGTGTTTCCCACTCAATTGGATTTCCTGTTGCAACCTCGAAACCACTAATATATAAGTGATTTTCAGAAAGAGGCCTAGTTCTGAAGCAGTGAGCCATAGAAAGATCTAGATCAAAGGTAATTTTGTGTCCCTCACAGAAAAAAAAAGCGAGTCCAAAAAAAGGATGCCTGGCAAACACTTAACTTACCAAAGAGAAAGAACAATGATTTGCTTCTTTATGGATAAATATTTTCAAAGCAACAGTATCAAAACAAACAGGGGAAGAAAATAGATGCTGAATTGGGCTTTGTAAGTGCTATCACAACACATATCTAAAGCAGTAATTGCCAAAGAAGATGAGTGTACAGAATAGCTGTGACAGTACAAAGCTGAAAGGTTTTACTATAGAAATGAGTCAACCATTCTAAGACGATGCCAATTGCCACCCTAATTCTATATTCTTGCTACAGCAAGTCTACATAAAGATAAAACAAAGAACAGGAAAATGTATGAGTGAAGGGGTGAGATCACTCCAGGTAATTGTAATGCAGAATTGCGCCACTAGCAGTGTTTTGATTTACTTTATGGAGGTGTTGAAAGAATGGCTATCTGGGTTCAGTTCCAAGTGGGGAGAAAGACACTGGAAACATGAAGACTGCTTGAAAAGATGGTTTAATGGTGGACAGGACCACGTGGTTTGGAGGTCCTGGGCAAAAAAGCACATAGGGGTGTGTGTGAGAGAAAGAGATTTATACTCTCTGTTGGGATTTGAATTTGAGCTTGTATTCTGATTGGTTGTCAGACACCCATGGGGTAACTTTGTAGGTTGTCTTTTGAGTCCTAGGCTTGGTTGAGCCTTGCTGGGTGATGCAAACTCCCCAGGTGCCATGTGGTGAGTTCTATGGTTAGATGGGTAGAAGGCTAATCCTATCTTTGTTGGATCTTGGGTGAGTGCATTTGCTTATGAATAGACCTACCTATCTCTTTATCTCTTAAATACTGACATCTGCTGTGGGCTGTTGAGAGTGTGGGGGCTATTAAGATTGAGTCTGCTTCCTGTCTAAAAAAATCATGTTTCTCCATTTCTCATCCAGGGAGGTATAATATTCTGCCTTTTTAATATTTCCTAGAATATTTCATTCTTCTAGGAGAGGGGTGGGTGCTAACTTCCTACAGAGGGTTTTTAAAAAATAAATAAAGAAATGGTTTGCAGTTGCACAGGAAGTTAAGAAAAGCAGACAGCTTGTGCCCTCCACACAGCATTAATGGGCCCCAGCTTTATCCAGTAATTTGAGTAACATAAGCACCCATGTGAAAGGTCATGTTTGTTTTTGGAACAAGTCACATCAAGGTCTTGGGCAAATGGAAACTGCTGTAGCCAAATCTCTCTCTGTCTTTCAGAGAGAGAGAGGGAGGGAGACAGAGAGAGACAGAGGGAGGGAGGGAAGGAGGGAGACAGAGGGAAGGAGGGAGGGAGAGAGAAAGGGAGAGAGGGAGGGGGAGAGAAAGAGGGAGGGAGGGAGACAGAGAGAGAGAGAGAAGGAGGGTGGGAGACAGAGAAAGGGAGAGAGGGAGACAGAGAGAGGGGGAGGGAGGGAGGGAACAAAGACAGAGAGGGAAGGAGGGAGGGAGAGACAGAGACAGAGGGAGGGAGACAGAGAGACAGGGAGAGAGGGAGACAGAGAGAGGGAGAGAGACAGAGAGAGAGGGAGGGAGGGAGACAGAGACAGAGAGAGGAAAGGAGGGAGGGAGACGGAGGGAGGGAGGGAGACAGAGAGACAGCGAGAGGGAGGGAGGGAGACAAAGACAGAGAGAGAGAGAGGCCTTCTCGCCTTTGAAAACATTAGTAATCATCATATGAAACATCACATATGAAACATGACAACTAACCACAATTCTATGTTCATCTCTGCAAGAAAGAGAGAAAACTTCGGAGAGTACCATAGTGACGTTGCTGATGCTACCCATATTCTGAAATAAATCGACTTTGGGAAACATTTTTTTCTCTTTTTTTCAATCCCTGCTATCAACTCAAGGTGCATCATAAAAAAACAGTCCTCCTAGAGGCTGTTCTAAAATCTTTTCCTAATTCTGATAAAGGCATCTGTCAGAACAGCATGGGGGAAATTGAACTGACAAAGATACAAAACTGGAAGATCAGGATCTACCAGTAGGATGATTTATTCTATATTGTCAATGTTTTCTGACCCCTGAGGTTTTAACATGACAGCAATAGAAAGGCTATTGACCTATATCTGCACATTTACAGGAGCCTCAGTATTCCTGTCTATAAAATGGGGTTTTGTCTATGCTGGCAGGCAATTTTGTTTCTCAGAATTGCAAGTAAAAATGAACAGGCAGAAAATAGGTACACGATTAGATCTCCTGAACCATGCACAAAAATCACTAGGAATGGAAATAAAGTTTACTTATCGATAAATCCCTGAGTTCTATTAAAAAGCAAAGCTCATTCCCCCCCCCTTTCCCCAGTTGTTTTCTTCTGGCATAGAATACAATCCCTGGAAATTACACACAACAGAAAGTCAAACTTGGGACTTCCTACTGCCACAGAATGCAAGAAATTACTTTTGCTTTAGCCCGCATGGATCCAGGTTACAAGTTCTTCGCTGTTCACTGAATTAATTATTTTTTAAAATAATTAGTCTTATGATTTACAATTGGAAAAGTTTTCAACTTGTTAATATGGTTCTGAATTCTGACATGCCCACTGTTTTAAAGTTATCCTCCATCATCCCACTCAAGTTTATCATTATGTGTACTCACAAATAAATATTATTCTTGCAGCTCTTATTATTTTTATTGGATGCCAGCTATGATTGTGGCTATGCGTCCCTTCCTGAATTACAGCCCAGTTTCCCAAGACTAATAAAATGTAATCAGCAATGGAATTTACACACCCCCAATTGAAACTATCAAAGCAGATCTCATTTGCCCAACCAACAACCCCCCCCCATCACCACTGTTGCACACTCAGACTTGGCTTAAAAACAAAACATTATCAGTTCCCTCCCCTTTCTCCAAACAAAGAAAAACGTCCAGGTACACAATCCATGTATACAAATGATTGATCCTTTTCTCCAGTTTTTCTCCAAAGCTTTCTCATGTATAATATACTTTTTTCCTCATGTAAACAGAGCTCTCCCTTTGCTCTTTAAGAACACAGAACGAAAGTAAGACATACTCTGTGTGAACAATCTTTTGGAAACCAGTACTCATATTTAGGTTAACAAAATTAGGTGACAAAGGCTGGTTTTCAGAAATATCCAATCAACTGAGAAATAAAAAACAGCAGTTCTACATAGATACCTCCTTAAAATCCCAGATCATTCCCCCCACATTTAAATTCAAGGGTTAAACGTATTTTTCCCCACCCCACAAATACAGAAAAGTTAATTGCAGTATTACTTTCCTGCTCCGCAGCAGAATCCACATGTTTAATTAGTATCTTTTCTAATAGGATTTATTCCCAACAAGAATCTGACAAATCACTGTTTTCTTTAAAAAGGATGAATTGGAAGGGAAGAGTCTTACTTACTTTCAGAAGACACTCAAGAGCTTGGTTTTGTGTGTGCTAGTGAAGGAGAACAGGGGAAAAAGGAAAGGAAAAACTTTATCTGAACTTTGCTTTATTTAAAAAAAAAAAGTTGTGAAGGGCAAGGGGAAAAAAAGTGAGAGATAATAAAGAAGCGCTCCACTGGTAGGGTTAATTTTGGCTCCTCCAAGAAGTTACTGCCCACTCATTAGGATTGGAAAGAAAAAAAAAAAAAAGAGTTAAGATGTGGTAGTGTACGCAAAGAAGCAACAGGCCTGCGTGGTATTTTGGAAAGGTGACAGTTTTCTTCTGGAATCCTTGGAATGAAGCAGAGGAATTAAATTAGCAGCAGTGAGTCAGTTTCACAGGGGGAGGAAGGGGCGGAGTTGGAAGCAGAAGTGGGCGGGGCCTAGAAGACTGATATCATTCCCCCCCCCGGAGGAAAATGTTGGACGGGAAAGGAATTTGGAGGAAGAATGTGTCCTATCTTTATCAATCATGATGAGTCTTGAAAATGCTGGGACAAATAATTGGGTCTGCACTGATAATTTTCAGAAAATTTAGACACTTTAGATGGCATTTAAAAGAAATCTGACAAGCTAATATTCATAGATGAGTGCCAGCTAAAATTCAAGCAGTATTACAGGTAAATACTATTTCGATGGCCTTTCCTGAATGCCAATAGCTGAAAACAAGAATGTGCTGTTACCTACAAATTCTTCCTGAGGCATTTAGTTGGTGGTGGAGTGACCCAGGTATTGAAATAAAAGTCTTATATTGGCCTAGATTTGATTTATATAGAATAGAATAGAATAGAATAGAATAGAATAGAATAGAATAGAATAACAGAATTGGAAGGGACCTTGGAGGTCTTCTAGTCCAACCCCCTGCTTAAGCAAGAAACCCTACACCACTTCAGACAAATGGTTATTCAACATCTTTTTCTTTCATTTCAAGTCCTTTATTTTTATAAATAACTCAAGGAAATGAACATATCTAATATTTCTCTCTCCTCATATTTTCTTCACAACAACAACCCTGTGAGGTAGGTTGGGAGTGAGAGAAAGTGATTGGCCTGAGGTCACCCAGCTGGCTTTCATGGCTAAGACAGAACTTGAACTCCCCGTCTTCTTCCTTTCAGCCTGGTGCCTAACTACTAAACTAAATTGATCACCTCAGCAATTGTGGGTTGTAAACATGAATTATAAAACAGCTTAGAGGACCAGTGATGAGTTTCCTTATTCAATGCCATTGTAACTTCAAACAGTTGCTGAATGAATGGTTGCTAAGCAAGGTTTGTGTAAACCAAACCAATCATTTATTCAGTAAAATATACCATGCAAATCAGAGCACAGAATCGAGACAATTGGTGAAAACTATCTAGGTTCACACATGCTTTAAGCCATGGTTTGTTTTAATATTGATTTTTTAAAAAATATCACAATTCTTACATTGGACTAAGCCCGTGATGGCGAACCTATGGCATGCGTAAGGACATGAGCTGTTGCCCCCGTTCAGCTCCGCCGCATATGTGCACGTGCCTACTGCCGGCCAGCTGGTTGCCAAGTCTCTGCCGCACATGCAGAGGGTGGGGCCGATGCGAGGGGCCCATGTGTGTGTGTGTGTGTGTATGTGTGTGTGTGCGTGTGTGTGCAGGGGGCGCGTGTGCATGCGTAGGGCGCATGCACAGGACCTGCATGTGCATTGCATTTTGGGGGTTCGGCCCATGCGCATTCGCGTGCACATGCGCTTTGGGCACTCAGTCCAGAAAAGGTTAGCCATCACTGGACTAAGCCATAAACATAGCTTGCTGACCACAATGGCTGGATTTACATTCAAAGCCAAAACCAAACAAATCTCTTTATTGTTGTAGCTTGGTGAGTGAACTCAGACTCTGACTGGCAACTGCTTTCCGAGAGTTTAAGATAAGGCTGGGAAAGACTTATCTAAAGTTTCAGATACATGTGATTTTGGATCTTTCAGTTATAAAGTATGTCCCATAGCTATAGCATTTCTATCCCCCAATCACAGACAAGATGATCTAATCAAACAAGACTTATGCTTTACTGTTCCCAGGACTCTTTAGGATGTGTATAAAACAAGAAAAAGATAAGAGAGAAAGGATAAAATACTTTAAAATGTGGGATGAGTGATAAGACTTGGGGGACAGAGTGCAATATGTTCAAATAAAGTATTTGAATTCAGCCACATGTATTCACATATAAATTCCTGGATCAGCAATTCTTACTTAGTCACTCATGCCCTAGTCACTTTCTGTCTTGACTATTGCAAGACTCTCTACATGGGGCTGCCCTTGAAGAGCATCCAGAAGCTCCAGTTGATGCAAAATGCAGCAGCCTGCATGGTTTTGTGCAGCCCCCGGTAAGCACATGTATCACCTCTCCTGTGGGAGCTGCATTGGCTGCTGATTTGCTTCCGGGTGCAATTCAAGGTGCTGGTTGTCACCTTTAAAACCCTTAATGGCTTGTGACCAGGTTATCTGAGGGACCATCTGTTGCCAGTCACATCTACCCAACCCATCAGAGCAGAGAGGCAGGGAATGCTGCGGGTCCCATCCCTGAGGGAAATATACCTGGTAGGACCCAGAAGAAGGGCCTTCTCCATGGTAGCTCCCTCTCTCTGGAACATCATTCCCCCGAGATTAGAATGGTCCCCACTCTAGCACTCTTCCGGAAGGCGCTGAAAATCTGGTTCTGCCAGTGAGCCTGGGGAATCCAGAGTGGGATGGAGCCCATTAAATGGTTTGAGTGATCTGCTGTTGCCAGGGCGGGGTGAGGTGGGGGGTGATTTTATTATATTATACTATATTAATGTATTTGATTCTTTTTATTAGTTTTACGTTTTAAATGTGGTTTTATATTCTGTAAGCTGCCTTGAGTCACCAGGGGTGAATAGGTGGCAATATTAGATAGATAGATAGATAGATAGATAGATAGATAGATAGATAGATAGAGGATTACCACTTTAGGGTAGTCAGCTCACATATACCTGTTGGGTCTTGGAGCCAATGTCCAGAATTACAGGGCCAGTGGGATGCCTTTTGTGTTATGAATCTGGTTTTTAGGATATTCTTAGAGGTAGTTGTTTAGTTATCCTCACATTAAAAGTACAGATAGCAAAAAAGGACCATATCAACCATAATAATGTTTTTTTTCATAGGTAGGGTCATTTAGCTTCCATCTCTATGTGAAAGCAGCCATTGTGGTTTGTATGGTGGGTTATGGCATTATTTATTTAAATTTATTGGCTGTCCAATTACAGTAGACTCTTGTCAATGTACAAAAGTGGAAAAAACATAAAAACTGCTAAAATGTTAAATCAGATAGCCCAGATTAAAATTATCCAATGAATGACAAAACCAATAAAACAAAATGGGCCATTAAACAATAAATTTCAGACTTAGTGTGGTATGTGAACTTAAGCTACCATATAACCCAGGAGTGAAATGCTACTGGTTTGCTCCAGTTTGGGCGAACCAGTAGTGATAAAAACTACCGGTTCAAGCAAACTGGTAGTAAAGAAAAGTTACTGGTTCAGGTGAACCAGTAGTTAGCTGCAAGTCTGGTTGAACCGGCAGTTTAAAAAGCTACCAGTTCAGGCGAACCAGTAGTTAGCTACCGGTTCAAGTGAACTGGTAGTTAAAAAAAGCTATTGGTTCCTCCAAATCGGTTATTTCCATCAATCAGCTGTACAGCAGGGTTTAGTTTTGCTATTAAGCAGGAAATCCTGCTTTCTAGCAAAGCTAAATCTCGTGCCATAGCTGATCCCCCCCCTCACTGTTCTACTTACTTTCCCAAGCCTTTTTTGTGTGTACTGTGCATGCACTCACACAACACGCACCAAAAGGAGGCTTGGGAAGGTAAGTAGAATAGCGGGGGGGGGGTATCAGCTGTGCAGCACAGTTTAGCTTTGCTGGAAAGCAGGAAATACATGCACACGCAGTGCGTGTTTGGCACGCAGCGCATATGCGTGGCCAGTGAACCGGTAGCAAACCAGTTTGGATTTCACCACTGATATAACCATGTTTAAGTAAATCATGATAGAGTATGATCCATGATCCCAGTCTATGTATTCACAGAGCACAGTCCCCTAATTGAAAGACTTGAGGTTATTTCATAATCTATATATATAGAAGCGAGATACCACTCATGCATCATCACAAAATCTCCAGAAGCCTACAAACCTGAAATTTGCCACATATGTTCCTCTTGGCTTCTAGGTGCTCACTAAGAAAGGATTTTTTGAAATGACCACCAGAGCATTAGTATTTCCTATATTATTATTAAAATGCTCTGATGCTAAGGAGTTCTACTCCTCCTCTCCACCTGAAAAGAAATCTGTTCCAAATGCAAAACACAAGCAGAGGAGAGGAGTTTCAGTTTCAGTTTTACTTTCACAGCAGAAAGCAGGGGATAGGAGAGGGCAAGCCTGAGGGAGAGAAAGGGTTAGGATAGGATAGGATAGGCTTCTGTGGGGCAAGGCTGAGGGAGAGAAGGGGATAGGATAGGGGAGGCTTCTGTGGGGCAAGGCTGAGGGAGAGAAGGAGATAGGATAGGAGACTTTTCTGTGGGGCAAGGCTGAGGAGAGAAAGGGAGAGGAGACGCCAATCTTAACTACTCATTAATTTTCAAGCTGTGTCGATTTATCAAACCTGATCACATAGTTTTGTAGTGGAGCATGGGTATTCAGCTAGTATCTTCTATATCGATAGCTGTCCAGATTGCATTTAAAGGAAGAGGTCTATAGAACTGTAGAAAAGTTTGATATTGTTCACAAAGACTTGCAGATTGAACAAACAGAAAATATATATCGATGTATACAATGCATAAAAATTGTATGCCATTTTTAAAGCATAAACTGGTGCCCTAGTCTTTTGATGTCAGTTTCAAAATGTGCTGCTTTAAATCTATTTTCTTTTAATTAAAAAGATGAATTAAATTTTCATGATGCACAATATAAAAATCAAACTATGGAGTGGGAAAATAGATTTAAGCCTCCTACTTGCTAGTTGCACAGTCTGTGAGATTTGCTGCGATGAGAAAAAAAAGGTGAAATCACACGTGCTCTGCAACCAAGACTGATTTTAGTATTTCATCCCACAAAACACAAGTATATATAAAAGTATAGGAAAAATAATGAGTTTTCATGCTGATTTGTTCACAATTAAAAGATGCCAACAAAAAATGTGTATGTTTACACAAATCTTTTATGGTTGTATATTAGTACAGTTTTCTTTTAAATTATGTTTTGATTACATTGTTATTTATCATTCTTGTTGAAGGTTGTCAGTTGGCAAAAAGG